GATGACAATTTTTATATGTTTTCTTCTCATGCCATCTTATACTCCTGTCTGTTAGGCAGCCAGCATCATGTCTTTTATTAAAACAGGCTATATGCTATAAATTTCAGATACATTTTACAGTGTGGAATAACCTGGCTTTCTGACTGTCTTTGATTTTGTTGTAAGCATGGTGTGCTAGAATGTGAGATCTTGTTGCATTATTATGAATATGTTGTGTTCTCTTTCCATATGTTTCTGCACGAGTGTCTCATCCTGTTAGATCATTTAACAAAGAATGTCAGATAAGAAAGAAAAAGTAGAAACTAAAGTTAATTAAAAATGTATTTGCTGCATGAAGTGAGAACCGTGCCAGCCAGAATACAGAAATGGTGCTTTCTACCTTAATCAGTTTCATGGAAAGTTAAATGGAGTTTTGTGGTAGAAATGTCACTTGTCCAGAGTAAGGATAAATAAACCAAAGAGGTAGCACAGTCTGCCAGGTTTAACCCTGAATTTCCTCATCAATCAGTGCCTTCTCAGATACTGTGTTAGACTTCTGACTACCACCTGGATCCTGCAATAGCTTCGAGGCAGTGCAGTCCCTGCTTGGAGATGGGAAATGGGAAATTCATGGTGTATATTGAAAACAATCCAGCCCTTTGAACTTGCAGTTTTTATGACCTTTTACAAGCTCCTTCCAGGAACACAAATACATTGTTCATATTTGATCAGGCCCAAAACAAGCCGTGTTCAGGACTGGAATTTGGGGGGTGGGGAGAAGGCAGAAACAAGGCAATTGTACCTCTTGATTGCATGTTAAACCAGTGACATTTAAAGGCAACCAGGGTAGCAGTTGCCAGCCTGTTTTTATGAGCTGCTCTGAGATAGAAGCTCCACAGTGAAGGTCAGTGTGCTGGAAGCAGAGATATGAACATTTTAACATCTCTCTACTTCTGCTTTTTTGAGTCTCTTTATATCCAATAGTCTCTTCCACCCCTCACCTATTTTCTACAGAAAATGCAATTTGCAGAAGCCATCAGCATACTCAGGTTCCAGGGAGGCTCCTGAGCCCCAGAGTGTGCTGAGTGACAGCACTGTCTGCTCCAGCCCCCCATGTCCACAGGGGTCACGTGCAAAAGCATTTACTTTCTGTGACTAGAAGCAAAATTGGCCCCTGTGACCACAAAAACATGTCAGTCTAAAAGAAAAATGAGAAGGAAAATAAATTTGACAAAATCTAAGACTAGAGTGTGGAACAAGACTTATTTCTGCCAGAGGATTTAGGGGAGAGATTAATATTACTTAAATGTGGTAGGAATTTCATGTCACATCAAGTATGTTACAGTGCTTTTACATCAGCTCAAAGTATGTCTCATCACACATGCTTTGTGTGTGTAAATTTGGAAGTTTTTGCAGCTTGCTCCTTTCCAAAGGTAATCTGCACTGCCCTAATTTCAGAGTGGATTAACTCCAAACAGGAGTGAAGGCTCCTCAAGCAGACATGAGAAAGTATTTTGGTCATTCAAATAGAGGAGCTGCTAGTCATTTAAAAATATTACAGGGAGAATTTACAGACATTCTTAAATGTAATCAGCTATACAGTGCTGGAACCACTCAGGGGATTTCATGAGTTCCTGTAAAACACAGTTCAGCAACATCAGCAGAGGTCTGGCACTGGCAGCCCTGGGAGTGACAGTGTCTGCACAAAGCACCAGGCGCTCATCCACCGCTCACCGCCCGTCCCGCTGGGCTCAGAGCTGCTTTCACACCTGGGGGATTTGGGCAACAGTGGGGTATGAGAATGGGACTCAGAGATGACAGAGATGGCTGTCCCTTCAGGAGGAATTCTGCTGGTTTCATCCAATGGAGAAACTCTCCCACACTCCTCCTGGCTTACCTGGGAAGGTGCTCAGGAGTCAGGAAGGGGACTTCAGAGCTTTCCCTGCCACCATCCCCTCGAGCATGGCCTAGGAAGGAAGTCACTTGTACAAAGTGATGGAGAGTCCTGTTTCAGAAAAAATGCTTCTGTGTTTTGGTTTATCCTACATTAGAGGGATTTTCTAGTAAAACCTGATTTGGAACTGGCATACCATGGAAATGCCATAGGAGCTCTCCACCAAAACAACTAACTTCAGTTTGCCCAACTATTGTTACCTATCTGCCATACAGACTGCTGCAGCAAAAAAATAAGGTCATCAACTAAACACAGCCTTTATTTTAGGCACCTGAATAGTTTCCCTGATTTCTGAGAACTGCTGGATGATGCTGCAGGATCAGCAACTGCAAAGTGAGCTTCTCCCCATGGCATTCCTGTCGTTCATCACCTGTTTGGGGTAAGAGTGCAAGGAGGTGAAAGCTTTTGCTGTACAAGTCCCTTCTGCTAGCAGGATTGAATCAATAAATGACTTCAAATGTTATCATTCTAAGAGCAAGATGATTTGCACAGAGTACTTGCTAGTGAGTGCAGAGCACCATAGTCCCTCATTAGAGTTTTAGTGGAACTGGAGAACATAAAAGAGTCTTGAATTACTCTAACTTAAGACTGTGAAAAACACACTCTTGTGTTTCTTATTCCTTACTTTAATTGAACACAAAGATATCAGCACTTCAGTGTCAGCTGCTACACATAAAATCAAACTTGGAGGGTAGTAAATACAGCAGAACTGAAGGTTTAGTGTTATATATTGAGAGAACCATTCAAGATAGAATTGTCTTAACCAACACTACTACTACAATAACAACCTTAAATTTATTAAAATTGAACTAAGTTTAAATGCATCTGCCTTTCCTTTTCATTTTTATTACATATTTTTTATCTCTAAGAAACAAAACTCACTTAACATAAACTGGGTATTTTCACTTTCCCAGCTGTTGTAAATTTTCACAATGTTGCAACTTCAGAAGAAATTTTTAAACATCAATTTTAATAAAAACTTGAGTAAAAGTGTTTAAAACACGATTTGCCGCTAGTCACTTGATATAAAAATTACTTGTTTTGATTATGTTTATCCAATAGGAGCTTTCTAATCAATCCTTGTACAAAGGGCACAAAGTCATGGAATTGCCTCTCTAGCAGAAAACCAACTTAACCCATTCCTGGGATTTGACTGAAAGACTTGTGCTGCTGAGCAGAGTGGCTGCTGGATTTACTTCCTCAGGTGTTTCTGTCCTGATGGCCTTTCCCTGCCTTCTTCATGTCCTGGTAGGTGGAGCACTGCATGGGGACTCTGGCAAAGTGACAATAAAACCCCCTGCAATGATAGGTGCACATGTGAAAAAAGAAATAATGCTGGATGAAGCACACTGAGCTTTTTGGGTGAAAAAGCAAAGTGTCAGTAATTATTAGACTGTTTAATTAAATGGTGTCTACTAGTTATTATAATGAGGTTCTATGATTAGCAGGGGCTAGCTCCACCTGCCTGGGGAACTGGGCCCTGCCTGGAGCAGGATTTAGGCTCTCAGGAAGCAATCTGGAGAAAGGCAAGTTGCTCTTCAGGCAAATTGTCATAGACCTGCCAGACACAGGATTTGTCACCTGACAAACACACCAGACACACCTCCTGTCACAGGATTTAAGTCATGGTAAGTTCAGTAGGAATGGCTGAAAATGCTTTGAAGAAAAAAATTTCCAGCAAGAAATACTAATTTGATGCAGTTTGGGTATTCTTCAGGACTGTGTGAATTTTACTGGAAGTTCCTGGTGGAAACCTTGCAGAGCTGGGTTTTCCTAGCAGGGAGGCAGCAGCTGGCAGGGTCCACCAGAGCTTTTTCTGACAGGGCAGGGAGCTAGGTAGCTGGGGAGCTAGAGACTAGATCAAAGCTGGCCTGATTTAGTTATTCAAAAAGTGAATGTTCCCAGGTATTTTGTTCTGTAGAAATCTTCATATATCCAGCTAACACATTATGCATCTTTTTTTTATGGCATAAAATGAAACCATTAAAAACACAAAGGAACTTTTCTGCAGATCTTAAAACACACATCCCAGGCTATCATAAATAAAGTCGTTGCTGAACAAAATGGTGACTTTTAATGGAATTGGGGGGGGGGGGAGTATTTTAGAAATGCACCTCAAATGTATTAAAATACAGTTCTCTCACATTACTTACTGCAAAAACCAAATTCTGCTTGTGATTTATACTCACTGTCATGACTACTGATGACTTTTGACACTTCTATTTTTTAATCAGGACATTTGCCTGAAAACAGCTTATCCATGGAAACGTTTTCTTGTTATGATACTGTTTTCTAAATCAATAGGATTGGGTTTGTTGGTTTGTTTTTTGGCTTTTTTTTTCCTTAATGTATTTTAACAAGAAACAAACGCAGTGATTTGGGAAGGCTGACAGCAGGCGAGCTGCCCGGGAGGAGCCCCGGCCGTGGATGGTGATGCCGCAACCAGCAGCGGCTCGATAGCTGCGCTCTCAGGTGCCTCGCAGGTACCGGCACGGGCAGCCGCGGCTCTGGCGGAGCGGGACGGGAGCAGCGAGCCCGAGCGGCTCCGCAGGTCCCCGGGGCGGCGCCGGGCGGGGCCTGGCGCGGGGGGCGGTGCGGGGGCCGGGCCCGCGGGGCAGCTGCGGCCGGGGCCGCGCATCCAGCGGCTCCAGCGGGGAGAGGCGGGCTCGGGCTGCCGCCGCCTCCGCCGCGCAGGGGCAGAGCCCGAGACGGGCGCACGGCGGGCGCTGCCCGGGCGCAGGAAGGAGGGGAGGGGAGGCTCGTCCCCGCCGCCGCCTCGCTGGAGCACGCGGCGAGCTCCGGGCGCTCCGTGGGATGGGGCTCGGAGAGGCGCCCGGAGTCGGCTCCTCGCTCTCGGGCTGCGGGAGCCCCCAGGCAGCGCCGGGCAGTTGAATCCCGCCCGCGGTGGAGCGAAGGAGCGGGACGCGATTTATTGCTGCATTCCCAGAAACGTCGCTTCCACCTGCGAGCGAGTTTGAGCAGCCGGCTGTGGATTTTATATTTGATTCTCCGCAAACCGAGGTTAGCCGGGAGGCTTTGGCTTTTTGGGAAGGAGCCCTGCCCCGGCCCGCTGTGTGCGATGGATTGAGGCGTGCCCGGCTGCGCCCCCAGCCAGGTCCCCGCCCGCAGCCCACATTGATGCGATGGAAAGTCGGGGGCTGTTCTGCACCCTTTGTTACCTGATGTTCAACGCTCCTCTGCTGTTCATTGTCACCGGTGAGTAGGAAACTTCGTCCTCTTCCCGCGGCGATGCGCCGCTCCGGGCACAACTTGCTGGCGAGAGGCTGCGGGGCCGTCGGGGCTGCGGGGCCGCCCGTCCGCAGCCGAGCTGCAGCCAGGCCCGGCCTCCCCGGCGGCGTTCCCAGCCGGGGCTGGGGGCAGGGAGCTGCCCGGGCGGGCTGTGGCAGAACAAGGTGGCACTGTTGGGCCGCAGCTGCCGGCAGCACGGAGCGGAACGGAGCGGGGCGCGGCGGGCGCGCAGCCCGGGACGGTCCCCGCGCCAATCGGCGGGAGGGGACAGCGGGACACCGCTGGCCCTGGATCAAGCCGGGGGCTTTCTTAGAAGGACCGGGGAGTTTTAAAGTCCTCTTCAAACTTTCCATTGAAGCCGCGGCTGCGGGGTGACGGGGGCCGGCTCGGCCCTGCCCAGGGTGCGCAGTCCTGGATGCTCCGCTTACCCGGGGATCCTCGGGCTCCAGGAAACCTGTGTCGCGGTCAGCGCTTAGCTCTTGAGCTGAAGCAGCTCACGTTAGACTGAAAAGGACTGATTTTGTCTTTTAATCTCTCTCGTTAACCAGCCCTTGTAACTCTATCTTCCCCTCCCAGCTACCTTTACTGAAGTTCCCAAAGATGTGACTGTTAGGGAGGGAGATGATATTGAGATGCCTTGTGCTTTCCGAGCCAGCGGATCCACCTCTTACTCCTTGGAAATCCAGTGGTGGTACCTTAAAGAACCAGCCAGAGAACTTGCACACGAATTAGCCATCAGTGTCCCCGGCAGCAGGAGCAAGGTAATAATACATTGCTATGGAGATATATCTCTTCATCAAATGCAACATGCTTAGGCAGGGATCAGAATAAACTCAGCATTCCCAGAGTGCTGCTTCTGCCCAGTGCCAGCCACCAGCAGGAATCAGCAGTGTGCCCAGGCCCTCTGAGGAATGCAGGAGTACAGGGCATGCACCATGAGGGACTTCATGTCAGGGAAAAACATCAATGCTTTAAGGACTGTAAACAGAAAATGATAAATGTTTCACTGCAAAATCAGCAATGAGGTCCCAAGAAAAGCTGTAGCATGAAGTGTGGACAAGCAAAAACCAGTGCTTCTGTGGACTGAGCTAGGAATCACTGTAAAAGGTGAGAGAGCTTCTGCTCACTGATAGTGCAGCGAAAGGCAGGAGGGATACACCTCTCTGTTGGTATATTAGTGTGGTATCCATCTGCAACCACCAACACACAGTTACTTGTACACATCCACATTGTGTCCATATCTGAAGCTCAGCAAGACGTTTTCAGTCAGATGTAGCAATTAAAATGCATGAAGCAGAGTTAAATCTTGCATGCCTTTTCCCTTCCCCCTCGGAAGCTGCTTGGTGTGAGGGTAGGCTTTAGTCTAAATTTTTCAGCTGCATTTCCCCAGCATAAGCCAGTTCATTCTACAGCCCCCCCGACCAGAGCAAAGACAACTTGCAGGGTTGCACAAGGAGCAGGGTAAAGCAGGACTTTGAGGCTGTGTTGCCCTACTGTGCAGGGCATGTCATCCTCTCCAGCCCCCGTCCTCTGTGCCAGCAGGGTGGCCCACGGCAGCCTCTGTGCCTGTGCCAGCTCCCCTCTCTGTGGCACGCTTGTTTTCCTGCAGAGCTCAAATAGAGATGCAAAGCATATAGACACTGAGCTAATGCGATGCCGCCTAGCTGGGGAAAGTGTAAGTCAGTTGTCAGACTGGGAAATAAATCGCTTGGATTTAAATGTCTTCTTTAACCTTATATAAAAACTGTGAGCTGCTTTTACAATAAATGATGACAGAGCAAGCCTGGAGAATGATGACCGTCTCCCCGAGAGGCGTATCAGTGAGGTCTGAGGCATCACTTAGGTTTACAGTGGTTGGCTGGAGACAAAAACATAACCAAATATGAAACCTGCTGCGTGATACCTGCTCCCAGGGTGTTTCAGGACTGAAGCTCTGCCCTGAGCCATGCAGGATCCAGCTTGCCCGAGCCCTTCCCTGCTGCGCTGCTGGTAACGCGTCTTCCCCAGTGTTTGTCAGTGACTGTGAGCAGCAGAGCATGCAACAAGCTTTTCTTTGGCTGTTGTTCACACCTTTGGGGAAGGCAGCGCTTCTGTGGGACAGCATGGGAACTTTACCAGAACAGTCCCCCCGGCTGAGCACTGGTTTGCTGCCTTCCCCATCATCTGGGGAGCTGCCCTGAGCCACACGGGCTGTGTGAATGGCAAGTGGAGAAAGGACATGGATATGGATATGGATGCAACTATCTTTCCACCGGGGTGGGAGTATGAGCATCCTGTAGATGTGCTGGCAGCGCTGAGTCTAATTGCCCTTTTTTTCTGTTCTTTTAGGTAGCAAATAAGGATGCAACCAAAATCAGCGTAAGTGCAGCTCGAGATGGGTGCACACCCCTCCTCCCACGCACGTGGGGTTTACTGCATGCCCCCCTCATTTCCTGACACACGAATGCAGCTGGTCTCACTGGCAGCCGCGCTCCTGCAGCACGGCGGGAGTGTGGCGCCTTTCCCCTCCTCAGTGTGCCGTGCCTCAAGACGTTGTTACCATCTGTTGCTGGTTTTGCAGTCACGTCTCATTCCTTGCAAATCCAGAGGAGGTGACGCTTGCCTTACAGCCCTTCCTTAGCCCCGTTGGAAAAGGACTGTCGGCCAAATCAGAAGAGAATCTTGGTTTTTTTTTTCCCCCCAGCCTTCTGCAACCCCCATTCCCCTGAGGCGACCCCCTTCTCTGGCTGTCCTGCAGGGAACACTCCCCTTTCCCTGTGATGCGCCCGCGTGTCCCTGTTCCCCTCTCCGCGGTGCTGGGACACACAGCGCAGCTCCGTGGAGCCGGAGCGGGGACACTGGGCCCGGCCGGGCTTGGCTCGCTGCAGCGGCGGGGGGCGACCCCGGGGAGGGTGGGGAGGGTTCCTGGGGTCTGCCCGAGCCTGGGAGCCGCCGGGGGACGAGAGAACAGCCGCGGGGGGTGGTGACAGCTGGGAGGTGGCGTGGGAACGATGTGGCCCGCTGCTAGTTCCGGATAGCCCCCGTGAGGTGAGGCTATAGCAGCGAGGTGCCCGTGTGGGGGAAGCAGCCCCGGCCCGTGCTCCCGGCAGCGAGGGGCACGGCGCTGGGGCAGGAGCAGGGTCGCTGAGGCCGTGCCGGCCGTGCTCTCTTGCAGACGGTCCGCGTCCAGGGCAATGACATCTCGCACCGGCTGCGCCTGTCGGGCGTGCGGCGGCAGGACGAGGGCGTCTACCAGTGCCGCGTGTCGGACTACAGCGACGACGAGACGCAGGAGCACAAGGCTCAGGCGCTGCTGCGCGTCCTGTCCCGCTTCGCCCCGCCCGACGTGCAGGCGGCCGAGGCGGTGTCGCACATCCAGAGCGGGGCGGCCCCGCGGCGCCACGGCCCCGCCGCCCGCCCCACGCCGCCGCCCGGCCCCGCCAAGCGCCCGCCGCCCGCCCCGGCCCCGGGGGGCACCAGCGCCGCCGCCACCGCCTCCACGGCCGCCGCCGCAGCCTCCTCGGCCTCGCCGCCGCCCGGGCAGGCCGCCATCCTCCGCCAGCAGCACGGGTCAGGTAGGGCGGCGGGAGGGACGGGACCCCCGTTCTCTGAGCCCCGGGACTGGCACTCGCTCCCGCGTCGGGCACTGTGACCCCTCTGCCGTGGGGGCACTCTGGCTGCGGCCCCGGAGCTGGGTAATCGCGCCCAAGTCTGGCAAAGTGTACTCGTGTTGTCCCAAAGGCCGGGGCTGGTGCCTCGGCCCAGCCTGGACGGGAGTGAACAGAGGCACGGGGATGGGGAGATGGGTCCGAGTACCAGGCTGGGACCTGCATCTCTTTGGCAGGTGCACTGGGGGGCCCCACGTTCACCCCCTTGCAGCTTTTTGGGTGCGGTGTTTGAAAAGGTAGCTACAGCCTCAGGAGAGCAAAACACCATGGAGGTTCTGCAGAGAATTTAGATTTGCAGAGTGGCTTACAGGGCTGGTTGTCCCAGGCAGATACGAGGCCTGTGCAGAGCAGGATGCAGATTCAGAAGGGAAATGTCAATTGCTGTGTAATGAGCTCCACATCTGAATTAATGGCAGGCTAAGAATTGGAGATAGAGTGCTCTATAATGTTTTCAAAATGCAAACATCATGCTAATACTGATTGTCTATCAGTTAATACTGTATTAAGTTATTAATGCTGCATTACCATATTGCAGTTTGCCAGAGAAGGCAGCTATAAACCTTTATTTATCCAATGACAGGAATGTCTGGGATGAAGAACTTACTCTTAAATCTGCACTACAAAAGTGTTTAGAGCTTCTGAGGTGTGGTGCTGTTCTGGCTGGGCTTCAGCTCTCCTGTCAGCCACTGTCACTTAGTTAATGTTGAACAAAAGTCCCTGCCAAGTTATCTGTGGAAGAAGGGAAACAGTTTTATGCCACTGACTATTCAGGGAAGGCCCTGAGCTCCCCGCTCTGCTGAGTCCCTTCTGACGCAGATTCATAATCTTCATGCAGGGAAGTTCACACTTCTTCCTGATACCTCTTCACACTTTCTGGGCAAACAGTTGCAGGTTTTGGCTCACAGTAATGGAAATCATTCCTATATGGGTCACTGTGACCTGCTGGTGCTTTACAGGTGCTGTTTTATCTAGCTACTACCTTTTCCTGTTTTCTGAATAATTTCTTTCTTCTGTAGAAATACATGTGAAAGCTAGATTTTACTCCTTATCATTCCCAAGACTAAGCTGGTTGTTCATTGTTGTCTAGTGGAAGATAAAGTGACAATTCCTGAGATCTTAACTACAGGTCCATGAGGGTATTTAAAGAAATTCATTTTGCTTTTGCTGTGTTCACTGGCCCCCAGAAATTAAACCAGACACTGTAATGCTCATGATCTATTATTTTTTTTTTGTTTGGAAAGATCTGCTTTCCTCCTGGGACCCCAGGGCTAAGTGGTGTTTTCATGTTTCCTCTCCACTGTGATGACAGCAAGAATTCCATGCTGACACTAGAGGTTGTGTTTAGGACTTGCAGCACTGTGCACCCTGCCTGCTGAACCCAGAGCTTATGTGGTGCATATGAACTAAAACCAGGACAGTGGAAGTGCAGTGGGCTCAGTTCCACGTCAACAGATGGATGCGAGCGTGTGCCGCCAAGACAGCATGTCACACATGCCCGTTAGGGCAAGACCTCCTGCCCAGATCAGCTAAACTGCTGTCTGTCCCGATTTTTTACGTGTCTGTGGTGTGGGATATGGCACTTCTGCATCATTTCTAGGCTGCATTAAATTCTGAAAATAATCCGGTAGCGTTGTGGCCAGCAGTGGAGGTAATGGAGTGATGTAAATCAGTGAAAAAGGTAGCAGAATACAGAAAAACATCTAGTGGGGGTCTCCAGGTGGAAACTGATGCTGAGAGCTACCAGACTGGCTAAACCAAAATTTGATGCTGTGAGCTCCCTGCTGGGCACACTGCTCTCTGTGAACAGTGCCACTCCGTGGCAGCTCCAGCGCTGAGAAAGCCAAGTCAGACTGCTCCTGTTCCCGTACTGACTTAATAAGGTGTAAACCAGCACCTGCTTTTGTCCCCATAAGAGGAAGGTGATAAATTGTGTACTTTGGTCTGGTCCTCTTGTAGAATTAATGCCTTTTTACTCTGCTTGAATCAAGACCTCCCTGAATAACAGGCTTCTCCCTGGTTTGTAATTTTTGTACCTGTGGTAGTTTGGAGCTGCCTGTAATTACGAATCAATAGAGCGTCAATCACAGCATGGCTTAGGAGATTTGCAGCTGAGGGACTTGACCCTCAAAACTTCCTGATGCAGGTGCCTTTTGGACCAGAACTGTGTGAGTCTTGTCACCACAAGATGTCTCTTTGGTTGCTTCTGTGAAGCAGACTGCTGCTGTCCCAGTCCCCATCTCCTGGGTATTTCAGAAAGGCTGTCTGGGCCAGGGATTTGGTCTGAAGCAGAAAGTGAGCTTGGTGCAGAGGCAAGAAGTCTTCCCTAGCCATGAATCTGGATAGAGATCTGGATAAAATGTGACGGTCAGTGTGATGAGGACTTGCAGGAGTACCACCTGTTTTTGTGAGGAAAGGGAAGAAGGGGTCTCCAGTGCTGTCACTCGGGTTGGATAAGCACTAAACTTTCTTCAAAACATCGTAAAAGAAAATGACATCTTAGACCTTCTGAGTTTTCCATTTGTATGTTAAAGTGGTGCTTTTTAGAGCTATATTAGGTACAGTAATTATTGTATTATTGTATAAAGAATGCAGTTGCTTTATAGGAAATGTTTTTTTTTCCTTTTATTTACTTAGGGGAGCTAGAAACCCTGTTTCAGGTCCCCCCCTGAGGCAGTGTCACAACTGGTTTTCCACACAGTAGGGCCAACAAATCCAAGTAAATCTTTGTTCACGTGGTGTTTAAGACTCAGGACCTAACCTTGTGTTGCTGTATGAGTTACATCTGCATAGCAGTGTAATACATACACCTCATTATCCTATTTTGAGCTGTAACACATACAGCTAAGTACTTGCACCAAATCTGTGTGTAATAATTGAATAGTCTAATACATTTAAAGTATTTAGCATTTCTAAGTCTTTTCATTGTACACAGGGATATTTCTTCTGTATGAAAGCAGAAATGTGGTCGAACAATGGATTTGCTATCAGCGATTAAGAAACATCCTCATTTAAGACACTGGAGAGCTCTGCCTAAGAGCTGATGGCATGGCACTAGCTACAGTGTCCTGCATGAATTGGCCTCTAATCCTATTTTCCTTGCAATAGAAATCTTCCCAATACTTTCAGTGTAGTAAGAGAGGGCCTCAATGTACTTGGATTCCAATAAACATGATTATAGATCAAATGCTACATTGGGATGTGCCTGCAGGGCTCTTGTTGACTTCAACTGCTGCCCGTCACGCACCACGAAAAAGTGTGATTTTTTACATCTTCTAAGTGAACTGAAACATGAATTTATTAGGATAAATGTGTCTCTTACCGAGATTATCTGAAGAGCAGAGAGTTTCATCTGACAAACTGGGTAGAAATAGAAAATCCATTGTTTTAGACATCTTCAGAAATAGTATTTGGCTGTAGTTTGCGTCAGCATTATGGTATATAAGGCAATAGATGCAGAACAACTGGAAAATTGACAAATACGCCACAAATATTAGCTACTTAAGCAGAATTTTATCTGTGATGTTTAAACAACCATATAAAAACTTGGTTCTGTGGTCTCATGAGTCAGAAAGGTTACTGCTTGTCTGCCAGCAAGGTGAACTGAAGTGGAAACCTAGAAAATGGGATTTGGGCTATAAGGAGACAAAGATCTGCTGGCAAGACCATTTTTAACACTATCACAGAAGCAGTTGTCCATGTGGTTCTAAATGAAATTATATTGAGCTTTTAGTTTAAATGCTTGTACACAAGTGGAATTTTACACTGTAGGAAAATAATTGGGGTGAGCAGTGTGCAGAGTTGTTACTGTTTGGAAGTACTCCTGGTTTTCACTGGGTAGAGTAGGGGGATGCAGGAGCATCACTGAGTGAAACACACGGTGTCTCTGTCTCAGGAAGTTTGTAGTCCAAGTGTTTGAGACAGATAAATGACACAAGAACAATAACTGACTTTGTTGCGTCGTGTGACAGCTGTGAAATTAAATATGAAAACTTAATTTCAGGTCTTCTAAATTTAAGTCCAGTGCCTTAGATGGTGAAGTAATAAACAAGGATCTTCATCTTGACCTCCTGGGAGGGAAATTGACTGTATTATATCCTACCAAATGGTCTCCAAAATGAGTGCCTGTGTATTGGCTTGGGGGCAATTTTTAGTTTAACTTCTGAGTAGAATGTAGATCAGACATTGCAGCTTCCAAATTCCCTTTTATTTGTTTGATCTCTAGCCTCAAAGCTCAGAAGTGAAAGCTTTAAATAAAATAAACAAAGATGGGAGCATGAAGCAAGGAGCTCTAGGAGGAACACGGGCTCATGTGTTATGCACAGATGAAGTGGTCATCACAAGGAAGAACATAAATCTTCACTCCATGCCTGTCCCTCCCCTCCTGAAAGCCCTTTATGTCTGAGGCAGAAGGAGCTCTGCTCCTGGGCTGCTTGTTTGAGATAAAGCAGCAGGTCACACAGTCCTGCAGCCTCTGTGCCCCTGGTGCTCAGAAGAGCAGGGCATGCACAGCCAGCCCACCTTGAGGCAGGAGACTCTCAGGTCTCTGTTGTGCACTAGGAAGAAAGAGGCCTGGCTGTGCAGCTTGGAGACAGCAGAAGAAGGAGCACGGTGCTTTATTGAGTGTGCAGAGCTGGGGCTGGTTAGGGGGACTCTGTTTGGAGGGGCTGTGGTTGGGTTTGGACTAATTTTGGGTAAGGGTTTGAGCTCAGGGCTCTCCTGCCTTTGTCAGAGCTTGAATGACCCTCTGCTAGTTTGAGACACAGCCCGTGGAGCTCGTTCATGTTTGATAGATGAACATTACATGAAACAGCAAGATAGGGAAGTGTATGAGGCTGCTCAGCTCAGGCTCCCTGCCTTTCCCCTCAGTAATGGCTGGGTCTGCTCCACTTCCCTGTGCTTTTTATGAG